CCCACACAAACACATATACTCATACGCAAAATAAATAAAATGTGAAACAGCAGCTGGGTGTGGTGGAGAGATGGCTCAGCAGTTAAGAACATTGGCTACTCTTGCAGAGGACCCAGGTTTCAGTTCTCAGCACCCACATGGCAGATAACAAGTATCTGTCCATAACTCCACTTCCAGAGGATCCAACACCCTCTTCTGGCTTCTTCAGACATTGCATAACATGGGTGCATTCATATACATGCAGGCAAAACACTCATACACATAACATAAAACAAATCCTGCTGGGTGTGGTGGCAGAGGCAAGCAGATCTCTGTGAGTTCAAGGCCAGCTGTGGCTACAGGGAGACCCTGTCTCAAAAAACACTAAAATAAATAAATAAATCCCCCCAAAATTGAGAAAATCCTAGACATGGACAATTGTGGTGGCACATGCCTTTAATCCCAACACTCAAGAGGCAGAGGTAGGTGGATCTCTCTGAGTTCAAGGCCAGCCTGGTCTACATAGTGAGTTCCAAGTCAGTTCAGGGCTATATAGTGAGCCCCTGTCTAAAAAAAAGAAAAACTGGACATGGTGGTATGCTAGTTGACATAAGAGTGGATGGTGCTTGAGCAACAACACCCAGAGTCCTTGTCCTCTGGCTTACACACACACACACACACACACACACACGCATGCAGATGCACAAACAGAACCTAAGACAAAAGAACATAGTAGCGATTTCCCCTGGGGAGTGGACTGGCTACTTTAACTTTTTTCTTGTTTGAGTCTATTATACCAACACAGGGGCAGGCATATAGTCCTTGAATAATTCACAGCAAAAGAGAGATGGAAAGAGAAGGGGGAAAAAACTTGAGGAAAAGGTACGTGGTGAATGAAGAGCCTTGTTGGAGCAGTGGGTGGAAAACCTTTGGCTGCCTCAGAAGGGGCGAAGAGGGAGACCCAGGCTATTCTCTAAGAAGACAGCTGAGAAGTCAACAGGGGCAAGGTAAGGAGGGCAGCAGAAAACTGGAGAGGACAGTCATCAGTCTCAAAGGGCCTTGATGGCAGCCAGCAGGCAAGGGCCAGACAGGTAGCTCCTCCTACCTCTCTGGAAAGGCTGGGCACCTGTGTGGGTAGGATCTGACTGCCCATGCCAGGACAACACACAGAGGAGAGATGTTCTCACCTGACCTGGCAGTTTAAACTGGTGCCCAAGCTGAAGGACAGAGCAACTGTCCTGCCCATTGGTCCCTTCTGTGCCCAGAGCTTGTTGTGGCTGCAGAGTAGCTTGAGCCAAGGATGCACTGGCTTGGACTGACATTGTGAGGTCATGGAGGGGCAAAAGAACTCTAGGAACCATGTGGAAAGGTGGCAGGTGTCTGGTATGCACAGAGCACTAGCAATACTTCGTTTATGGAGTTTCATTCTCTTCAACAACCCTCATGGCATGAGTGAGGAAACGGGCTCAGGGGCTAGAAACCTTGACCAACATGCCACCTGTTGTTAGATACCTTCTGCTGTGTAACAAATTTCCTTACATCAGTCACCTCATGGTCTTTGGGAGTTAGGAGCCTAGGAGTGACCTGGCCCCATTGTCTGGTTCAGTCCTTCTGACAGACTAGGGCATGGTGGCCCATACTTGTAATCACAGCACTTGGTCAGTAGAGGCAGAGGATCAGGAGTTTAAGGCCAGCCTCAGCTACTTAATGGAGTTTGAAGCCAGCCAGTGCTAAATAAGACTTTGTCTGACTACCCCCCCCCCAAATAAACAACCCCACTGTTGTAAATGAGGTGTTTGAAAGCTTGTGTTTGGGGCTGGAGTCACTTCCAAAAGAGTTCACTCCTACAGCTGTTGGTGGCTCCACAGGGTGGGCTGTCTGCCCACTGTGGCAGCTGGCTCTCAGAGTGAGTGGTCCCACTGGGAAACTCTCCACTTGTGGGATTCAATTTGAGAACAGAATTGCAAAGCTGTACTAAAGTGCAACCTTACTTAGTAAAACAAGCTACCATGCTCTGGCAATAAGGCGCAGGATTGGACATACTTGACTGCTAGAGGGGAGGCGCCTGAAGAGGGAGCCCTTCTTTCACTGTACCCGAGACAAATGCAGTCCGGGGGCTTCAGCGGGAGAACTAGAAGACCCGTGAGGAAGGGAAAGGGCTCAGAGATGCCGCTGGTTGACCTTGAAGCGTCCTGAGCCAAGGGGACTCTGCACTCTGCTGTGCGCCCTACTACCTGGCCTGGTGCCTCACTTCTCCAAGGACATTGTGACTGGCCTTTGCAAGAGCTACATCCTGTCGCACCCACCCAGCTAGGCCGCTACAGCCTCTGGTTGTCTCGGTTGTGCTCATCTCTGGCCCCATTCCACTCCTTGCGAGGGGGCGGGGGGGGGTTGTCTCTGGGTCAGACGATTTGGGCGCCCTCTCCCTATCACCTCGCTGCCACACTGTAAGTAAAAGGACCAGATTGGATCCTCTAGGTCGGGTCTCGAACCCTCGTTCAACTCAGCCCGAGAGGCTGTTACCCTGCGGCCGGTCACTAGATGGCGCTCCGCTGCCCCTGGCGGATGCGCACAAGGGTTTAGGGCCGCCTCTACGAGGCGTCTCACCAGCACCTATTCAGCCTCCCACCCATCCGTCTCCCCGCCGGGCCCTCCACCCCAGGCCTCCCTGCGTCACAGCACCACTGTCACCCACAGCCAGAGAGGCATCGGAGACCTAGTGCTCCCAGGCAACAACCTGGTATCACACCTGTGTACAGCCCTCCAGCTTACCACCATGGACAGGGCAGAGGGTGGTTGCTAATAAGTGGGCGATTTGTGCCCAGGACAGTCTGGGAAGTAGTTCTGGAGGCGGTGGTGTGATGGCTGCATGAAAATGTGAGCTAGCTTTTGGCCACCAAACTGTACACTTCAGGGTAAAGTAATAAATTTTGGGGCAGGGGATGGTTGTAGCAAAGATGGTAGAGTACCTATCATGCGTAAGGCCTTGGCTTTAATCTTCTGCATCACATACACAGGGTATAGTGGTACACACCTCTAATCCCAGCACTGCGGAGGAGGGGATAGGAAGACCAGGAGTTCAAGGTCCTCCTCAGCTACATATCTAACCTGGGCTAGAAAAGACACTTTTTTGAGACAGGGTCTCACCATGTAGCCCTGGCTGGCCTAGAACTTGCTATGTAGACCAGATTGGCCTTGAACTCGCAGAGATCTGCCTGCCTCTGCCTCCCAAGTGCAGGGGTTAAAGGGGCACCACCACACCTGGCTAAGACATTTTAGACATGGTCCAGGCTGGCCTCCAACTCAGTATACAGCTGAGCAGGACTTTGAACTCCTGATCTTCATGCTTTCACTTCCCAAGGGATAACAAACATATACCACCATGCCCACTAATTTTAAATTAACCCCCACACACATACCCCAGTGCTTCCTTTGTTCCTCAAATAAAATTTAAATTCCCACAGCAGCTCTAGGACCACTGACCCTTTTCCCATTCACAGAGCTGTTTCACTGACATATTGGGGACAGTTTCTTCTGTCCAGTGCTAGTTCCTACTATCTCCAGGTAGCCCCTGGACCCACCCACCACTCATCTAACGAGCCCCTCTTGATTGCCCACTGGAAGCAGTAGCATAATATCCAGTAAAATTGAAACTGGGCAGGCCAGGTCCAATTTGTGTGCATGGTACTGGAGAGGAAACCCAGGGTCTTATTCACACTAGGCAAATTATACTGAGTTGCATCCTTAGCCCCCAAGCTGAGTATTGATTGGCCTGTCCAGGTCCTACTCAGTGTCCTACTTTCTTTATCTGGGAAATGGGTCATAATTGGGTTATCTAGCAGGATGGAGCAACAAGAAAGGTCCTCTGCCTCCCCTGGCTGGTGAATCTTGGTGGACCTCCTCACATAGCTCATATTCTCCTTATCCTTAGTGCTTGGCACACTAAAAGGGCTGGCCAGTGATGTGGAGGGGTGTGATTATGGGGCAGACCCAGGCTCCCTTGCTTATCCCTCTCTCCCCTGGGAGGCTAGAGTTCTTCATGCTAGCTTTCTGGGGTTGACAGAGCACCCATTGGCAAATGGGCCTTGACTGATCCCCATGTGCTCCTGCCCACCAGCTGTTCTTCCCAGGTTATTTGCCCTCAAACAGGAGGAAGCCTAAAGTGTTTTGTTTGTTTTTTTAAATCATTTTGGCCTGGAGACTGCTCAGTTCCTTCAATGGGGCCTTCATACAGCTGTCCTGGGAACATCTGTCTGTAAGAAAAAAGACCACCTACCCCAGAAGCTGAATGAAAAGTGGAGGAATCATTCTCAGACCTGATTCACCTCCTCTAGCAGGTGTCCCCAACAACACAGCCAACCTTAGAGCCAAGGGAGTCCCCAAAATATGTAAGTGAAGCTTCCAGAAGCCTGATGGGCCACATTTCCCAAGTGTGAAGAAGCCAGGCTGTGGTGTCCTTGGGTAGCCTGCCCAAGTGAAGCTAAAAGGGCAAAGAGCCACATGGCCCAGGGAGTTTGAGACATTCTGAAATGGTGACAGGGCATAGGGTCTGCCACAGTCACCAAAGAAGAGTGAGGGAGTGCTTGTCATAGTCACCAGGTGGGGTAATTGAAAGATTCCACAGGGAATGAAATTTTGATTATTCAAACCCTAGGAAGTAGGCAGGGCCCAGTTGGAGGCCCTCAGGCTACCCATTCCTGCATTCAGTGCTAGATGATTCTAGGTCATGGACATACTGATGAAGGTTGCGGAATGTCTGGGGCAGTGGGCCTCCATTCTGCCAACTTAGCTCAGGGTCAGCCATCTGCAGCCATCTAAACTCCCTCCACTCACTTCCAAGCCTAGCATTTTCCTGTGGGTCTTCAGGCCTAAAACAGGTTTGGCCTAACAGAGGGGGTCCCACAAGGTTTCCAACCATTCCTGGCCCAGAACCAAACCCCTTCCCAGGAGGTCCTAGGGCAATAGTGAAATCAGCAAGTAGGTCCAATTTGAATGTAAACACAACTCAAAGCACAACTCAAAACAAGGAAAATCCTGCTGTTTATCCAATCCACTCTGCCTCCAGTAGAGTGGACTGAGGCTCTGGGTTCCAACTTGTTCCCGGAGACCAGCTCCCTGGACTGCCTGGCCTGTCAGTGTCCAGCTTCGGTCAGGTGTCCTCTCCAGACAAGATCCTCAGTCACGGCCCAGCTTTCTCTGCCTGCCACACCAATTCACCCGAGATGTAAGTGGCCTGGACGTGGAGGGTGTCATCGAGCACCACGAAGTCTGTGGCAGAACAAAAATGTGAAAGGGGCAGAGTAGGGCCATCCCCACCCCCTATTGTGGAGCCTCACAACTGAGCCTGGTGGGAAAACTGAGGCACAAGAACACAATTTGCAGAGGTGGATCCTGGAAGAACAAGAGCTCAAACTACTCATAATTGGGGACAAGGGACAAGTGATCCCAGTACCCTCTCACTTGACCTAATCTGAGATGTCAGAAAAATTGGCCAAAAGTCAGTATAGTGGCAATGTGCCTGTAATTTGAGGGTGGGGCAGGAGGAGTGCCATGAGTTTGAAGCCAGCCTAGTCTACGTAGTGGGTTCCAGGCCTGTCAGAGAGACCTATGAAGAGTCTCCCTCAAAAAAACAAGGGCTCAATGGGTAAAGGAGCTTGCCACCAAGCCTAACCACCTGAGTTTGATCTTTGGGCTCTACAGGCAGAAGGAGAAAATCAACTCCCACAAGTTGTCCTCTGACCTCCATAGGTGGGGCCTAGCACACACAAAAATAAATATAATTTTAAAACAAAAGCAAGAAAAAGGAAAAAAAAAAAAAAAGGCAAGTCTGGCAAATAGGGAAAAGGACAAGAGTCTGGTAGGCAAGACTGACAGCAGGAACTGGTGAAGACCCACCCCCTTGGGCCCCAATTTAGCCCTCTATATGGAGCCTCACCTGCATCAGAACCAAAGTCGAGGCTCCCCTTGGTCTTCTCTAGCCCTAGCAATTGGGCAGGGTGGAGAGATGCAGCCTCCAGAGCCAACTCCACACTACAGCCTGCTCAAGGACATGCTGTTGTAAGCATCCCACACGTACGTAGTTCCAAGCTGCAGATTTCAGGACCTTGGCTTGGTGACCACTCAGGACTCTGTAGTAGCTTAGGAAGGACCCTCCCTTCCAAGCTTTGGGGGCTACTGCTCTCAAGCCCACTCATCATTGCAGCCCTGTAGGGAACTTCTCCTCCCGACAGACGAGACATGGTGCTTTCAGGGTGGTATAGCCATAGGCTCTCACTCCCCATAAAGTACTGTCTGCTCCCCTGTGCCTGAAGGACCCTCCTGCCTACTCTTGGCAAAGAAGCCATATCTGGGCCTACCATGCTACCAACTGAGCAGCCACCTGGGACCATGCTCACCTAGTGACCAACACTTATTCCATTGTATCAACACATGCCAGAGCTGCAGCTATCTCCTGTGTCCCAGACCATTCCTAGCCTATTTGCTCTAAATAAGACCCTGACATTCCCCACACCTAGAATGATACCCAGCCTTGAGATGCTTCCAGATCCTCTCCTCCCACCTTATCCCTTGGGAGGTCTCTACAGAGCCTGTCCCAAGCTCTGGAAAGCTTTTCTCACCCCACCCCATCCCACAAGTATTCCCCCTGCTGACTCCCATCATTCCACAGGCCCAGACCCTGGCCTTTCTGTGGGCAGCATGTCCCTGCTCCTCCATGGGGCCACAGCCTCAAACTGTGTTCATCATCCTGGCTCTAATCACTGGCTGCTCACCACTCTTCTACAGCCTTAGCTCTCTGTGAATGACCTTGGTCATTCCTGTCTTCCAGGAGTTATGCCCCCAGTTCCCTGGTAGTTGAAGGATATCAGTACAGAACTTCAATGTCCTCTCCTCCCCTCTAGCTTTTCCCAGATGTAGCCCCTACCCTCAGATACCCATGACCATCAACCCACTGACCTGTGGCCTGCAGGAAATGCCGGATACAGACATCCATGGGGGCTATGCTGCCACTCAATGTCTTGGTGCCTTGAGAGGAGAGAGGCCAGGATGGGGGGGGGGGTTGTGGGCCTGTGAGGGTCATGGACCTGGCAGCCCAGTGGATAAGCAGAGGCTACCCAAATTCTGCCACTGTTCCAGGGAGGAGTCAAGAAGCTGTACATACATGAGTACAGGAGTCACTTACCTGCCACGTAGGCTGTTAGCCCATCCACCTCCACCTCCTGTTGCCCCAGCGTGTGACGGCCATTGCCCAGGCCCAGAGCAGGGACCGCGTCAGTGACCAGAACCAGCCCTGAGAGAGGAGGTGGTTCAGGACCTGGCCAGCTCTCATCCTACCTACCCTGCCCTGTCCAGTGGCTCACCCTGGGGATGGGCACGGTGGGCAATACGCAGAGCTGCAGGGTTAGTGTGTATGCCATCAGCAATCATCCCGTAGAAGATGCAGCGGCCTGGGGGCACCTGGTCACTGGTCAGAAGCCCTACGATGCCTGGGTCACGGTGATGGAACTGGGCAGGGCAGGAGGGGACAGCTGAGTGACAAAAGGGGCCACTGAGTCCCCTTCCACCCTGAAGCTAGGGTGGCACTCACAGGCAACATGGCATTGAAGAGGTGGGTGATGAAGGTGGCTCCACTCTGCACTGCTTCCTCTGCGACCTTCAGGTCAGCCACAGAGTGCCCTGCACAGGGAACCTACAATCAAATTCTGCACCAGACAAAAATTCTGAGCAGGCATAACCCCACAGGTGGCCTCTCACCTAGAGACACACAGATGCCTTGGGCTGTCAGTGCCCGGATTACTTCATGGCTTCGGCCCAGTTCAGGAGCCAGTGTCACAATGCGGACATTGTCCAGAGGCCCATATGTGGCCAACACATCATGGAAAGCATTGGCTTCAAAGGAGCGGAGGTAGGCCTCTGGGTGTGCACCCCGCTTCTCATGGCTGATGAATGGGCCCTCTAAGTGCACCCCTAGTGGAGGGGACAAGGGTGGCTCCAGCAGATACCCCCCACCCAGCAGCCCCATCCCAGTCCCTCAAACCTGCCCTCCCTCCCCAACTGGGCATCTTGGAAGGAGTTAACCACTCACCAAGGACCCCTGCCCCATGGGGACCTCCACTCTTCACAGAGATCTGAGGAAGGACCTGGGGGGAACCAGCTGTTAAACCCCTGCCCCCCCACAGCCCAGCACCCAGAGGTCACAGCCCAACCAAGATTAGAGCCCCAGGTCAGAGTTCAAGACCCTGGCCCAGCCTAGCCCTGCTGGCCTTCCCTATGGGTGCCAGAAAATGGCTAAAGGCCCCTCAGTGGTCAGGTGTAGGAAGAAATGACAAGAGGGAACACTGAATAGCCTGTCCTGAGGACCAGGAGATGACAGTGTTCCCAGGCCACACAGGCAGGAGTTGGAGCACCAAGAGTTCTCCAACTTGCTCTGGCCCTCAGAAATGGCCTCTGCCCAGCAGTAGCTAAATCAGAGTGGGCAAGTCCAGAGTTACTGTAGCCTCCCTAAGCTGCAGGACCAGGAAGCAGGACCAGAGGGCAGAAGGAAAGAAGAGCAGAAGCAGAAGCTTGGAGGCTGGAGAACTCAGTGCAGGTGGGGAAAGGGCTCAGGACTCACAGCCAGGTCCATTCGCATCAGGAAGGTCACTGTATAGGCAGGAGTGGCAAGTACTCACTTAGTCTAAGAGGCTATCTGGTACAGCCACATCTCTCCAGTTCTTTTGGCTGTTGGGCAGGGACTTGGGGGTGATTCCCGGACCCTTCAAGTATGAGGACTCTGGGCAAGACAATAACTAACCACACCCTCCCTCAGCATTACTCATCGCCAATAAAAGTGAATGGCTTAGTGGTGGTGTTCGCCTTTAGTCTTAGCAGGGGCTATTACACAGTAAGACCATGGGTAAAAAAAAAAAAAAGCAAAGAGTTTATATATAAGGCTCTAAAGCTGGGTATGGTGGTACACTCCTAAAATCTCAAGCATCTGGTAGGTAGTGACAGTAGGATCAGTTTAAGGCCATCTCAGTTACATGAAGTCCAAGGCCAGCCTAAGCTACAAGAGACCTTATCAGAGACCTTATCTCAAATTAAACAAACCAACCCCAAACACTTAAAAGTGAGTCCAGAGAGAATGAGAGAAGGACAATTAGACCCTGGGAGCTAGATAGGTGGACTCTGCACACATCTGGGAACTCATTAGAGGTAGGTAGGTGGAGTGGAAAACAGATATTAGGTAGAAGTTTATGTCCTTAAGGTTCTTATAGCAGGTCCTTCTGAGCAACATAAGACTCTTCCCAGAGGATCTGACAAGCCCAAGAGACAGAACCTAAGCAGCCCAACCTATAGGTGCCCCACAGAGATCCACCCAAAAGTTAGGTGTTCCTGGGGCAAGACCTGCTAGTGCCATCCCTCAAAAAGAGCCCATACTGAATTCCCCAGGCAGCAAATGAAGGTAGAGGACCAAGCCAGCAGGGAACAGAAGCCAAAAGAGCTAACAATACTGCCTTTGGGCGATGAACAAGATTGTCAGCAACAAAACCAGCTCTTCAAAACTAAAAATATGTAAGAAACTCATAGAACAAACTCCTAGATAGAAGCTGAGGAAATGTCTAGAAAGTAGAACTGAGACAAAAGATCAGGAAAGAAAAAATGAGGAGACAGGCCCAGAAAGCCCAGCACTAGCCTAGTGGGGTCCCATAGAATGGCAGAGAAATGGGAGAACAATCACCAAGGCAATTCAATAGAAGATACCAGAAAACCCTAAAGCTGAGCTTTGTCTAGTAGGCAGCAAAATGGATAAACGCCCCAATCCCACATCATGCCACCCTGAGACCTCAGGTCCAAGGACAGAGAAAGATCCTAAGAGCTTCCAGAGAGAAAATGGTCACCCACAAAGGATCACAGATCAGATGGCCTCCTGCTTCTTATTTGCAACACTGGACATCTAAAGACAGAAAACCAGTGTTGTTTTCAATGTTCTAGAGAAACTGAGCACACTGCTGTGCGTCTGTTGTCCCCCATACTCAGATCACTTAAGCTCAGATTTTGAGACCAGCGTGTGCAACATAACAAGACCCTGTCTCAAAAAGAAAAAGGGTAGGGTCTGGAGAGAAGGCTCAGTGGTTAAGAGCACTGGCTGCTCTCACAGAAGACCTGGGATTGGGTCCCAGCACCTACATGGCAGCTAACAACTGTTCCTAACTCCAGTTTCAGGGGATTCAATGACATTATCTTCTGGCCCCCGTGGGTATTACATACATGTGGTGCTCGAACATATATGCAGGAAAAACACTTAGACACATAAAATATAAGCAAATAAAAAAAAAATGTGAAGAGAAAGGGTAAAATGGAACTTGGCAGAGCCCGGAAGTTTTGGGCCAGGGATATAGCTAACTAGTAGAACATGCTTAGCTTTAGATGCTAGGTTCAATCCTCAGTACCACAAAAACGAGAGGCAAGTGTGGAACAGAACCACACAAATCTCATGGCTCCGAGGTTAAGATCATTTACTACTCTTGAAGAGGACTCAAGTTCAGTTCCTAGTACCCACAGTGGGTGGCTCACAACCGCCTGCAAATCCAGCTCCCAGAGGTATATCCCATGCTTCTGGCCTATTCAGGCACTTGCACTCATGTGCACACACACATACATACACATAAAATTTAAAAATTTTAAGAAGAATAAAGGCATTTTCAGATTTTAAAGGACAGTAGAAACTTACCCTCCTGTGACCCTTTTAGAAACTACTGAAGGATGTGCTTCACCAAGATGAAGTATGTAAACCAGCAAAGGAAGAGGCAGGATTCCAGACATGGGAAACCCAGTAGAAAAATCCTTCCAAATGAGAGGAAGGGAATTCCTAAGATAGCTCAGCCCCAGTGAGATGATACACAATGATCATGAAAGCAGAAGACAAGAGCTCATGCAGCATCTAAATGGCCAGAGTGTTGAGACAGTGAGCAGGAAGCCTGCAATTGGACTTAGTAGCTTAAAAACCAAGCAAAGAGGCAAGCATATAGGAGGCTGAGACAAGAGTTCAAAGCCAGTTACAACTATAAAGTGAGTTCAAGACTGACAAGGGTACACAAAACCTTGTCTCAAAAAAAAATGAGGGGGGGGGCAAGTTTGATGATCAAGCGTTTGATCACCAAGACCCACATTATAGAAGCAAAGAACTTCCACTTGCATGCCATGGAGTACAAATATATTTATTGACTGCCCTCTACACACACACAATCACAATCACACACACACACACACACACACACACACACACACACACACACACACACACCATAATTTAAGAAAACCAAGAAAACACCCCATCTACTCCTCCACCCTGCCCCAGCCACACACACAAATAAAGAACATTTAACGCTTAACTCCAGGGAATGCTGACCTGTCAAGTAAGAACACCTGAGCTGTGCTCTCTTCACAAAGTCCTAATGATGTCATGATTGATGAGGCTGACCCAATCCAAATTACAGGTAACTTAACTACTCTTCAAGGACAAAGGAATGGAAGCAGATGAGAGGGTGGCTTTTTTGTTTGTTTTTGAGACAGGGTCTCTCTGTAGCCCCAGCTGGCCTGAAACTCCCTATATAGACCAAACTAGCCTGGAACTCACAGAGATCCGCCTGCCTCTGTCTCCCAAGTGCTGGAACTAAAAGGCACGTGCCACCACACCTAGCCAGAAGGAGATGAGAGGGTTAATCCTCATTTTCTTGGTGAAAAGCAACAGGTACCGCCCTAAACTGCACAACCAATTACAAATACCAGCAGATTTTTTTTTTTAAAAGGTAGGTGGGTGAATTCCAAGAGAGACAGGTGGGTTGAAAGCAGATAGCTCTGCGGCTGGAGAGATGGCTCAGTGGTTAAGAGCACTGTCTGTTCTTGCAGAAGACCCAGGTTCGAATCCTAGCACCCACATGGCAGCTAACAACTGTCTGTAACTCCAGTTCCAGGCGACAGCACTGGCACTACACCACATGGGTGCATTTACCTACATACAGGCAATACATGCATACACATAAAAATAATAAATAGCTGGGCGTGGTGGTGCACACCTTTAATCCCAGCACTTGGGAGGCAGAGGCAGGCGGATCTTTGTGAGTTTGAGGCCAGCCTGGTCTACATAGTGAGTTCCAGGACAGCTGGGGCTACAGGCAGGGAGACCCCGTGTAAAAAAACAAACAGCGCCCCTCCTCCCAAATTGGCCCAATTTCTACCATCAATTTCTACTTGCCTCCCAAGGCCTTCATTCTAAGTGTTATATTGAGTCTATGAAGTGCTTAGACTGGGCATTTCCCAGTGGGTACTGGGAAGACAATTTTAGGAAGACTTGCCAGTCCTCCCACAAAGGAAGAGCCACAGCCTGCACCATACAGGTCAGACCAGCTGCAAGAGGAAAGCTCAGTGATGGTGAAGGAGACCTGGGGGCAGGGCCAGTAGAAGAGCAAGCCTTCCAGGCAGAGCTTGGGAGGAGAGGGGACACACCTGGAGATGCTGGAATGTGCCTGGGGAGAAGAGCCTTAACTGGTAAGAAGGGAATGTTGGTGAGGAGGGGTATAGGTTCCATTTTTTTCAGCGTGGAGAGAGAGCTGTAGAAACTTCCAGAAAGTCACCTCTGACATCCAAGGAGGGTTTCACATGTGCCAACCTCCCACTGATGGTTCTCACTCTAGGTTTGAGGAAATTGAGGCTTAGAAAGGGGTAAGGTTGCCCTAAATCTTCCAAGGGATAAATGTCAAGAGGCCAGAAACATGGCCAGGAAGCAAGAGCACAGAGTCCACATTCAACACCCAGGGCTCCCTTCTCTGATCTGTGTCCACACACCCAGAAAGGGACCCACCAGCAGTCAGGCACTCGACTGTGCAGTGGATCCTGTACTGGAAGAAAAACAGGCTGAGACAATTGACAACAGGAAGAGAGTCCATTCAAGTATGGTTAATGGCATTAATATCCTAAACTCACCAATTGCATTGTATAAGAGAGTGCCATGTTTTTAAGCAAGAGTGAAGTACTAAGGGATTAAAGGGCTGAGAATATGCAAGGATCTCTCAGACAGTTCTGGAAGCCAGTAAGTGCACGAGCAGGGAGAACAAACGAGTTAAAACTGGGAAACCTTTGTAAAAGCCCTCTTAAAACTGGAGCAAGGACAGAACTTCCAGTAAGAAGGAAGGTGGAAGTTATTAGGGATGTAGGTGACAGTAGCCAGAACAAATTGAGAGCAGCTCTTTATGGAAGGCGTGTTCAAGTGAATCACATATAGGCAGGCAGGTTAGGGAGGAAGAGCTTGATTAGAGACAACAGCTGTGGCAGAGTTCCAGCCAACTAGGGGTCCAGAGACCTAGAGACTGCCAATGGGGTAGGTAGATGTGAATGCGGACAGAAAACATTCAGACAGCTGCAGAGACCATGTCAAGGGACAACTGGAGAAAGAGGGGGAGCCCCCCAGACCCAAGTGGAGGGAGGTCAGAAATACGGCCTGATTCACGTGCTAGAATTTCCAAAGTTAAAGGGGCTACTGCTCTTGGGGCCCCCTTTGCTTCAGGGGATGGGGTGGAAGCAGCGTGGCCTCACCTTGTGATAAACCTCTGGAGGGGATGTGATCAGGGTGGGGCAGAAGGAGGTAACACCGTGGGACAGGATCCTCCGAGCCACTAGGGCGACCCCAGAACCCACATCCTCTGTAGCCTTGGAGAAGTCCACACCAAATCCACCTGTGGCCACAGAAAAGAAGGGGTCGCACGGTGCTCAGAACTCCTCCCCTGGGCTCCCTGGCCCAAGTCAGGCCGCACCGTTGATCTGCACATCGATAAAGCCAGGTGCCAGGATGCAGCCTCCGCAGTCTCGCTGTTTGTCAGCCACGCGCCTCTCCTCAAAGAACAGCTTCTCAGGATCCAGGATGCGGCCCCCGCGCACCCACAGGTCCTCTCTGTAGACAAGAGTGGCCAGCACATGAATCACCACCTGGACCTTGGAACCACATCCACTGTTATAATCCGATCCCCAGCCACAGTCAACTCTGCAGACAACATCCCTAGATTCCCACACCCTGCCCTCCCCACCCTGTCCCCACACCCAACCCAGCCCTGCAGTGTACAGAGCCCTGGGCCCTACACCCGCCGTCCTGCACCACCCCAATTCAGACCTGAGCAGCACGCCGCCGCGCAGGATGCGGCAGTTCGTGAACTGGAGCACAGGAGCCCATGCTGTGCACTGCCCGCCACGCATCATGAACCGTGCAGAGCCCAAACAGGCCGGCAACTGGAGTGGTGGCAAGTCGGAAGCCTGCAGGGACTCGCGGCACCACGTGACCCTCAGCTGATGAGGCTGTCACGTGATGGCTAGGGGCACGTGGTCGGGCAGTAGTAGTGACGCTGCCAGTGGAGCCCGCCCAACCGCTCCGCCCATAGAAGTACCGGAACACACAGGCTAGTCACATCCAAGAACTTTATTGAACACAGCTCCCCGCCAGCCCTGGCGAGCAGCAGCACTCTGCCCTCCAGCCTTGAGGCCCAGGTCTGGGGGGAGGGTGACTTCATCCAAGGAGTCTCAGCAACGGGAACCCCGAAAGGCAACACTCTACTAATGGTTACTATATAGCTGGGAGACAGGGCTGCTCCACAGACGCATGAACAGGTCAACTCTTTTATAAATAAACATCCAGTGAAGAGAAAAAGGACAACTCTAATCATCCTTATACACAGAGCACTCTAGGGTGATGGGCAGGGCAGCCAGTGGCCGGCATCCTCACTGGTCAGGGGCCGGATGGGAGATGAATGGGCCCAGATGTCCACAGCACGGGGCGGCAGGGGCCAGGCGGGGGCAACAGACAATGGGCACTAGGACACTGCGCATTTACAAGACCAACTATGGAGGGGGCAGCTGCCCGTGCATGTGTGTCAGGCTGCTCGTTCTGGAATGAGGAGGGGTGGTCTTTACATCGTATTCTGTGGCTGGTGGGCTCTGAAAAGGGCTACTTTGTGGAGAGGATGAGGGCCACAATGAGACCGTAGAGGCCGAGCACCTCTGCGAAGATGAGGATCAGGATCATGCCCACGAACAGTCGTGGCTGCTGGGCTGTGCCCCGCACACCAGCATCACCCACAATGCCGATGGCAAAGCCGGCTGCCAGGCCACTCAGCCCCACACTCAGGCCAGCACCCAGCTGGAGAAAACTCCTGGAGAGAGAAGAGACACATAGGCTGTCAGCAAACTGCCCATCCACCACAAGATGCACCTGGTGGGACAGACCCTGCAGTCACCTGTAGAGGGTGATACCATCGGTCAGGGAATTGGCGATAAGGACTGCCACCACCAGGCCGTAAATAGCGATAATGCCAGCCATAACCACTGGGATGATGGACTTCATGATCAGCTCTGGCCTCATGACTGACATAGCTGCGATGCCAGTGCCACTCTTGGCTGTGCCATAGGCAGCACCCAGGGCTGTGGAAGGAAGAAACAAGGTGAGCCTGGAAGCTGCCTGGAGAGGAGGAGCTCTTTGCACACTGGGAGGGATCCCCAACTTATATCCCACATGAGAAACTGAAGGCAGGCAGGCAAGCCCCCTGAGAGAAATAGCACCATAGCCATTTCTCCCTTGCCTCTAGCTGAGCCATCCCCCAACCCCCTAGGGTCCACCTCTGCCCAAAGTGGCTCTTGCAGTTAGCAGATCCTGCTCTGCTGTGAACCAGATCTTGAAGTCCTCCACACTTGTGACTTCAGGCAACTGGTCACAAAGGAAAGAGCTGGGGCCCCAGAGGCTTTGCTTGAGATTCTGGGTACCTGTGTCTCACCCTAAGTTCCAGACAGTTCCAACATGAGTGGACTGCCTCTCAGCTGCCTCTTAGTCCAGAATCCGTCAGTCCCTAACTATACTGGAGCCTTCAAGCCTCCTAAGATATACTGACAACAGGGTGGCCTATCTCCTCTAGTGCTACTACCCTACTTCCACCTCCCCAAGATATACTGCCTTCCTTTCAGGAATTTGTTTCCCTCTCCTGGCTTCAGGTTTTGAACTCTAGCTCTTATTTCTGCCACTGAGCTACTTAAAAACTTCACTGGCTGCTTCAAGCTTGACTGTGCCCAGGGCATCCATGCCATGGTCATTCTAGGGACAATAGTAGCTGGTTTGCCACAAAGAAGACAAAACAGGCCTCTGCATATTTTATTGAACTCTTTTTTAAAATTTTTATTTAAAATTTTATTTTCCGTATATGAGTGTACTGCCTGCATGTGTATTAAGTGCACCTCTGTCACGCAATGCCCTCAGACATCAGATCCCCTGGAACTGGAGGTAAGGATGGTTGTCAGCTGCCATGTGGCTGCTGGAAATTGAACCCAGGTCCTCTGCAAGAATAGCCAGTGCTCTTAACTGCTGAGCCATCTCTCCAGCCCCTTATTGAACTCTTTGGACCACAAAAGATGCTTACTGTGTGCCCGGCACTGAACAGGGCTGAGGTTGGAGGGGCTCTGCCTTCTCAGAGCTCATACCCAGTAAGACAGGACAGTGACTCAAAGCTTCATTTCCATGAAACAGAGGGAATAGAGTAGGGGAGGTACAGTGAGGGAGGGGAAGGTCCTGAAAAGGATCATGGAGTGGGGGAGATGAGGTAAGTGGGAGATCAAAGGAAGACCAGGCAGAGGACAAGATTCTTGACAGCACATTCAAACACCAAACAAAATGGTTATCAGTTGAGATCAACTGGAAGAGGCTGAGGCTAGGATACAGGGCTTGCCTCTTCTGCAGCACCCTGAAGTACCTAGATGTTGTCCTACCAACACTTGCAGCACCTTAGGCTTCTGGCCTGAGGTCCATCTTCAGGACATCTCCTGGAACTATTCTGGTCACTGTGCATTTCTTTTAAATATTTTTTTTGGAGGGTGGGTTATTTTTATGTGTATGAGTGTTCTGCTTGCACATACCTAAATTCCCATGTGTGTAATGCCTATGGAGATCACAAGAGGGTGTTAGATGCCCTGTAACTGGAGTTATGTATGGCTGTTAACCACCATGTGGGTGCTGGGAACCAAACCCAGGTCCTCTGCAAGAGCAGCCAGTGCTTTTACTCACAGAGCCATCTCTCCAGTCCCCCCAACAGTGCATTTTTAAAAGAATTTTATTTATTTTTATTTTATATGTATGCGTGTATTGCCTGCATGTAGGTAAGTGCACCCATGTCATGCAATGCCTGTGGAGGTCAGAAGAGGCTGTCGGATCCCCTGAGACTGGAGTTACGGACTGTTGTTAGCTGCCCGGGTCTTCTGCAAGAACAACAAGTGTTCTTAACCACAAAGCCACTGCTCCAGCCCCAAGAGTGCATTTCTGAAGCTCCTATTGCAAGCCCAGCCCCATCAGGATGCATCACAAGTAAAAGGGCTCACAGCCCTGAGAGCACACTACTGAACAGGGAGAACACAGGCTGTCATGTGGTACTATGGAGGTGGGAACTAAACACCAAGAACTTAGCACCCCGGAAGTAAGCCAGACCCTTTCCCAGGAGGTCATGGCTGAGAGATGAGTGAGAAAGATGACCACTAGGGGCCAGAGAAATGGATATAAAACTAGCCCCAACCTGGAAAACAGCAAGTATCCAGTAAGTCATGTCTGGCAGGCTACAGAAGGCAGACCTGCCAACAGTGCCAATGCAATGGACAGTTCCAGGAAGTCAAGCACCAATATAGGGAGGAAGTCACAGAAAATACGGAAAAGCAGCAACTGGCATTTTCATGGAAGACATGATGAAGAAAGAACCAACAGGATATTTGTCATAAGAAAAAAGGGAAGCTAGAATGAGAGCAGGGAACAGAGGTCTCCAAGATGTGTGTGGATCTCATTTAAAGAACAATGGTCTTTAAGTTTAGGTAGTCAATGCAAGGGAGGCCATTGGCCAGGCACTGACATTGAGCTTGGAGTCCACCCAGTAGCAACACCAGGGGCCATCAAAGGAACATGGATTTGTTCAGATAGCAGAGAGGACAAAGACATGTTAGAAAATGGGATGCTTGGGGGAAGAAATGAAATCAGTAAGAGGCTAGCCACCACAGGGCTGTGTTCAGTAAGTGCAGAAGAGTAGGACTAATGGCATTCTATCCCCAGGAACTAGGGCCAGGTAAGAAAGACCAAGACCAGTAACTTGTTTCCTGTAGTGTGCAGATAAGATACCTATTGGCCAGACTTAAGACACAGTCTTGATGGAAGGGGGGGTGTCGGGGACAGGAAGCTAGGTGCAGAGAAAAGAGTTCTTGATGGCCAAATTCTGAGTTGCAGGGGCCATCATGACAGCCAGAACATGAGTTCCCCATGTTTTGCTTATTGATGTCCCCCCAATATCTGGCACATAGTAGGAACTCATTTAAGACTTGCTGAATAAATAACCACAAATGGTAATCACAGGTGACCAAAGAACTGGAAGCTATGGATGCATTCTGGGCACAGAACAGAAGGGAATGCAGGGCAGCCTCTAAGGAACCCTGAAAGTGTGGAAAGAACAGGTGTTCTATGAGGAAAGAAGTCTAGACCACATCTCCCACCACAAATGACCCCTTGTTCCAATGGGATGGGAAGGGCAGGGCTCACTCAGCAGCTCGTGACTGGCGGACAGGCCCAGGCAGAAGGAGGTCCTCAGGACAGAAACCCCACTCCCAACCTGCACCCTACAGGTGTTTACAGTCAGCAGACACTGTTTGGAGTTCAAACCCTCCACATACCTGTACTGAGAGCCAGCCTTCCAACCCATCAAGTTGGGTAGGGCTGGGCGGGGTCACTTAAGCCAACAACCAGACACAGAGGAGGCTCCAGACCAGCTGAGACCAGTCCCTGGGGGCTGTGACTTACCTCCCCAATCCCACATTCTTGGGTCTGGCCCAAAGGCTTTTTTCCCAGGAAGGCCAATTTTCACTAAATTTGACACCGTAAAAAAGGTCAAGCCCACCTTCAAAAGCAAGGTGCCATCAAGAATCTTGTCAGACTTTTTGCTCCTCAGAGGGGGAAGCTTCTCCCAGTTCCTGCCCCTCCACCCCCCATGGACAAGGAAAGTCAATCATTGACTCATCCATTCATTGAGGTCAGGACTGGTGACTCTTCTAAAGATCAAGGTCCCACTCATGTAAATGCTGGCAATTTAATGCTACCCTGGCACATCAAAGGAGACCCTTAGCAAGGGTCCACTCAGGTGGTCCTTCCTGGATTACCTCACTTCCACAGGCTCTAAATAGCCTGAGTCCCTGCAGGTTTCAAGGACCAACCCTCAGCTCAGTTTTCCCAAGCAACCCACATAGATGACAAAACTATTGGGAAACCCAGACAAGCCCCAACCGGAAACACCTGCCTCACCCCATGATAGAGACCCACTTGACCCCAGCCAGCCGTGCTGCCACAAAAGCAAGGCTTGGGGACCTTACCGGGGACATACGCTCCCCTAGTGGGCGCTCCCCAACCCGCCGCCGCCTACGGACAGGCGTCTTAGGAGGTGTGATGTCACACCTGCCCGCAGAATGCGGGATGCGGAGCAGGCGCAGGGCCGCGCGCCGCCCCCTGCGCCCCCACCCCAGCCTCGCTCCCGCCTCCCGGGGCTAAGATGGCAGCTGCACCGCGGCCCCACCTCCGCACCGACATGGCCCGGTTGGCAAGCCCTGCGCCTGATACACTCCACGGCCTCCGTCGCCTCTGGAGCTAAACCCCACCCGTACCCGTGAGGCCCGGCACCCCGACACCCGGGGATGACGTCAGAGTGACGTCACGCCAGGCACCCCGTGAAATGCGGGCTGGAGCCCCTCACCGCGTCGGGGCCCCCTGCCCCTCCTGCTGAGATGCTTACCGCTGAAGATCATGGCGGAGGAGGCGCCTATGACGGCGAAAAACGAAGCATACTCGGGGCTGGTCTTGGACTCAGTCATGACTGCGTGAAGGGAAGGGGCAAGGTCAGCTGACGGCCGGATGGCCGGACGGCGGGCAGACGGGCGGATGGGAAAGCGAGCGGAGACACGAGACCGGACGCGGAGGCTGCGAAGGCGACCCGGCCAGTCAGCCGCTGCGCTCTAAATACCACCACCGCAGAGCAAGATGGCGGCCGCACTAGCGTCACATGATTCGGGCTCCGCCCCTCCGGGCCGTACCACCTGGCGCCGGCGGGGGGCGCTCCCAGCTCGCCCGCAGCCGGGGTACGGCCACGAGGTCCTGCCACAAGCGCGCTGGGTTGGGCTCCCCACGTCGGCCTGCCTCGGTCTCTGCAGGTGCACTGTCCGGTTCCGACGTCCTCTCGGACCCTGCGGTGTTGGGTCCTGCGGTCCCCGGGGCGGATCTGTGGGTCTTCATATTAGCATACGGGGCGGAGCTTATGCTGCCCCACCTCCTTTGCGGCTGCGCGCCGTCCGCCGGTGTTCAGTTCCCAGGAGTGAATTTCCTGGTGGTCAGCGTTCACTGCCCTGGAGCTCCAGGCCTTCCAGCTGTGCGTGGCTCAGGTTCTCATGCACAGCTGGGTCGTAGTGGTATTAGTTTTCTAGAACTAACGAGTCAAAGAAACCCTGAGTGTGGGGCCCCACCCCACCTGTAAAGTCCTGGTTTTACAATGTAGTCCTCCCATGTTTCGTGATCAGTTCCCTCCATTCTATTCTTAGGCTCCAGCAGATCCAGATCCACCATCTCCCCCTAAATTCCGAAAAAACTACTCCCGATTTGCTCCTTCCCCTTGCATCAACGAAGCTGACATCAACTGGGGAGGGGTGTCTTTCCGTTAAGATGGAGGCATGATTGGCCTTTTGAAGCCCTGTTGATGCTGTCACCACTGGAGGTTCTCCTCGCTGCTGGAAGGTTCAAGTGCCTAGGTTCTGCCTGCTCTACTAGCACCCACGCATGAAAAGTCCACACTCGCGGGGCCTTCTTTATGGAACAGTGATTGGGGACAAGTGGTTTCCCCAACAATATAGGCATCCTAGCTAAGGCTGCCCTACTGATGTCCTTGTGGCAACCCAGGCAGCCAACTGCTTGCCGCCCCTCCACCCCAGGTGTCGCTGCCTATTTATCCCTTTATCCACTCCCTTTGAGGAGCCCTGAGCAGGTACTAGGCCTTTCTTGAAGCGCAAGCCGATATCCCAAGATCAGAGGGCTCTCCTAGTGGTCTGTATGCTGTCACCTCAGCTTTTCCGTGTAGGCAATGGGGTCACTTCCCCATCCTGACCTTCCTGCTCTACTCTTAGTCCCATCTTTCACAATAAGTGAACCTCTTCCCCCTTGACTGAACTTACCTGTGGAAGTGCCCAGGTTTTGTTTCAAAGGAGAGGCTACAGAGAGCTACTAACCCTTCCCCGCCCCACTTCTCTCTTGCTCCATTTTGACTTCTTGAAAGGGGAAATCTTGCTGGCCGTGGTAGCGCACGCCTTTAATCCCAGCACTGGGGAGACAGAGGCAGGCGGATCTCTAAGAGTTCAAGGTCAGCCTGGCCTACATAGTGAGTTCCAGGACAGTTGGGGCTACAGAGACCCTATCTCAAAAAGACAAAAAAAAAAAAAAAAAAAGGGAAATCTTCATTCTATCTCCACCTCTTTATCTCCCCTTTCCTCTCCAGCTCCTTGTCCTTGCCAAGGACACAGTGACTGTCATCCCTCTTAGCAGAGGGACATTAGGCTGAGTGGGCCTCTTGGTGCTACTGCCCAGGAGTCACAAGGAAGAGCCAGAAAAGGCCCAGCCCTGTAGCCGCAGCTTCACTGCAGAACCCTGTGTGACCAGTGGGCTCTGCCCTTCCCCTGGGAAATCCCATCTTCACCGTTGTTTTAGCTTCCATCTTGCTATCTTGCTTCTCACACGCAGTTTTGCAGACCTGACCACTCTGTGAATGAGGACAACACCCTGCAAAGGCCCTGAGTGTACAGGACCAGGGAAGCCCAAGCTAGAGACGTGACACTGGCTGAGGGAGTGGGAAAGCTGTGTGCACTGGAGAATCCAGACTCAGGAAGGGAAGGGCAGCACAGTCTGCTAGTAGGGAAGTCAAATGCACAGGGGCAAAGTATGCATACTTAACTAGGTATGACGGGGACACCAAGGCTAGGAAGCAGACAGCAGGATCAGGTAACTGGGAGTTCTGTTACCATTTCTTACTCCTTTTTGGTTTCATTCTAGCAGTCACATAGGTTCTCCAGGGGAGCTGCTGACACTGTAGACCAGTGTTCTCACACTGGGCTCACACCCCTCCCCTGGCAAAAAGCATAGCTATCTGCCAAACAGCTCCCACCTAGCAGCTGCAGTCACGACTACACTCCCTCCTCCTCAATGTAGTTACTCACTGGTCTTGAGATTCTGGGCCTTCACCTTAGGCCCCACCACCCATTTCATTTCTGGCTTGAGTATTCTAGCCTGGTACCTGCCCATCTCCCCCCTCCTGTCTTTACCCTAAACCCAATCTTTATCCTAAAGCCACAGAACTTTCCTAATCACTTCCTATCCCACAATTCAGTGCCTAATCATGGACCCAATGCTTCTCAGTGTCCTCCCATTTGCCATCCCCTATCTTCCACTGCTGGTGGCTCTAGCAACACCAGCTCTCCCTCTTCCTTAGTACTCAGTACACGCCTCCTCCAGGAAGCCCTCCTGCCCTCCATTTTTCTCCTTCCCCTTCCATGATGTCCTTCTAGCCATTCTTGCTCCTACTGAAGGTTGCTTGCCTCTTTTTGTGTATTCCAAACACACACACCCCGCCCCCCGTATACTGCTGAGCACTTAATGTGTCAGGGTCTGTGCTAAGAACCTTGAGGTTATTACCATTAGCTAGCTGTCTCCATTGTCCTTTTTTGGTAGATACTGAAACAAGCCTAGGAAGATCACCTGCTAGCAAGTGATAGAACTGAAACTCTGTTCCAGGGCCTGGACATGACTCTGCTGGTTCAGCCACCTTCTCTGACATGTCATCCGATCTCAAACCTTCCTCCTGGATCTCCTGGGCATCGGTCAGGGTCCTAACATGGAATAGACTCTAGGGTGAGAAAGAGATGGTGGGGGTGTATCCCTGTCTTCTCCTTCACTGTTACTTCCCCCTTGGCATGAAATCAGAGGTCACGAGTTCCCGCCTGTCACTGTCACTGTGGGGTGGGGATTTCCAGACATTGAGAGTTTGGAAATTAAGTCAGAGACCTCATGAGGCGAGGAATAGCAAGATGGAGGGAGGGGTCCTTGGATGGCCAGTAATACTTTCCAGAGACACTAAGGAAGGAAGTAGAGAGGGTAAAGATAACAAGAATAAAATTCCAAATAGTGTCAAACTGAAAAGACCAATTTTATCCCAAGGAAGCTTTTCCAAAGAAGACCAACACTTGGGAAGCTGGGACAGAAAGACTGTAAGTTCGAAGCCAGCCTGGATTACATAGTGCCTGTCTTGAATGAAAAAGAAAAAAAAAAAAAAAAGGTGGGGGAGTAGAAGAAAAAAAAGGGAGTGGGGAGGGAGAGCAAGCTGACTCCTCCAGCAGCCTTTCAAGAACATCAAGAACTGTGAACAACCATGTCCCAGCAGGCTTACTGCCAACAGCTTCCTTTGTACAAGCCACCATGAAAGCATGGTGTTGGAGGGGGGGGCGGGAAACAAGGGACATAGACAGGACAACACTGCTTTCTTCCCCCAGTCAGACAGAACTATGTGTGGGCCCAGACATGACTGGAAGAAACAGAATAAGGGCATGGTAGTCCATGCCTGTAGTCCCAGCACTTGGGAGGCAAGAGGCAAGCAGATCTCTGTGAGATTGAGACTAACCTGGTCTACATAGTGAGTTCCAGGCCAGCTGTGGATACAGGGAGACCCTAGCTCAAAAAGGTTTAAAAAGGAAAATAAACAGATCAAGGGCACAGATAATTTCACTATTTTGGGAATGGAGCATGATTAAATGTAGTTTACTTTCTTTGTAATTAAAAATAGTTGAGCCAGGCATAGTACTGCACATCTTTAATCTCATTTTGAGACAGGAAGATGGGAAGTTTAAGGCCAGCCTGGGTTACAAAGCCAAATCCTATCTAAAATAATTGAGTAAGGCTGGCTGGGGGTCTAGCTCAGTGGTAGAGTATGTGTTTAGCATGTATGAGGTCCTAGATTTAATCCTCAGCACCAGAAATACTTTATGAACAAAGGATTTAAAAAAAAAAAATGCTGGGCATGGTGGCACGCCTTTAATCCCAGCACTCAGGAGGCAAAAGCAAGAGGATCTCTGTGAGTTCAAGGCCAGCCTGGTCTACATAGTTTCAGGCCAGCTGGGGCTACAGGGAGACCCTGTCTCAAAAAAAAAAAAAAAAGAAGAATGGGGCTGGAGAGATGGTTAAGAGTGCTTACTGTTCTGGTGAAGGACCTAGGTTCAGTTCACAGCACCCACATGGTAGCTCATCTATAACCAGTTCCAGGGGATCCAATGCCTCTTGTGGCCTCTACAGGCATCAGGTATAAAATTTAAATTACTAAATCTTTAAAATATATAAATAAAAACATCCTATAAACACACAGGATATCGTGGTGCTGGGGCGGGGGGTGTCCATGGCACAGTTCAGATTGTAACAGTGTTTTGCAAAGTTCTGAACTGCTTCTACATATCAGACCACAAGAGGGACAAGCGATGAGAAGCAGGCAGCTAGAATGGTCCCATGGACAGGGCAACCCTCCCCCATTCCTTTTTTGGCTGATTCATCTTCAAGGGTTGATGCCAAAGGGCTTGATTGGTTCTTACTCTGACAACTGGGCAGAGATAGGGGCCAGCCCTGCCATCAGGGGGAGAGGGGTGTGAGGCTCTGACTCCTGCTGGTTTATTACAATAAGCTTGACCCTGGAAGCAGGGTCTCAGTAAATACTGGATAAACCTTCAACATGGACAGTCAGAAGGGGCCTTGAGTCTGCCCTTGACCCTCAACCAGAAGAGGGAGGGGCATGCATTGATTATCTGGAAATGCAAAGATAAGGTCAGAGCTTGCCTTGGGAGCAAACATGCTCTAAACAATACTTCAACGTTAAGCCAGAAATGGGGCTGCTAGATGTAGGGTGGGTACAGAGGAAGAAGGGGCTAAGGCTCACTCATGGGGTCCTAGTAGAGCTGATCTC